TAAAATTACACAAAAGAAGAGAAGCACCAGAGCCGCGGGCTCAGCCCCGTCCATCATCTCCGTCCATCATTTCTGTCCATCATCTCCGTTTGATCAGCCTCATTAATAATGGACAAATGTGCAGATATTCTTTTGCATATATGCTTTTAGTCAGCTGCTCTTCAGCCTCACAGATGCATCGTTACACGTGTGCATGTGTGTGCATTTAAGATGAGTGTGGTATGAGCTGCTGCTGCTGCTGCTGCTGCTGCTGCTGCTGTAGGTAATGTGTGTGGACGGTGAGTGTCCATAATGTGCCATTAAAACAGTCCAAGTGCCATTCCAGCATTCAGCAGAGCTAAAGACCACGCACTGATGTAAACACACGTGTGGCAGTGACAGGAAGTGCAGAGGAGGAAACATGAAGTGAGAACGTCAGGATTAAAATCGAAGGGTTGAAAAAAACACGTTAGTTACAGTCGGTCACTGAGACTGAGACACAGGTCAGTGGGACTGATGACGGCGGTGTTAAAATATATGTACATATATATTAATAAGAGAGTCTTATTCTGGAATCTATTTCATTTTCAGTCACTTCATCTTGATTAAAACAAATGTCTGAGAGTCGTCAGCGATTCTTCTGAAACTGGCAGCAACCAAACAGAAATGTAACTCTTTTTTTTCCTAGGGCAGTTATGGCATCACTGCCAACAGTGACCTCAGCTGAGAACTGTAGCTCAGTGAACAGATGTAGCTTTTATAGATTATAGTCTGGCTCCTGCTAAACTGTGACTTTATTTATTTATTTAATTTTTCTAATCTGTAAAAACACACCTCCACAAAGGTTCCTTAAAAATAATATTTGTGTCATGAGATCATAATATTGACTTAAAAAATGTTGTCTCCAACTCCTTTATAAAAAAAAATCAAATAAATAAATCAAATTACCACGTCAGGAGTGTAAATATCTCACAAATTGATTTTTATATATACATTTATGACATTTGACCTGTTAAAACTTTAATTAAAACACCGTTCATAGAACTTTTTTAAATTAACCTTGTGTTTGCACTGCAGCATCTTTCCTCTGCTCTCCTGTCCCTCTAGTGGCCGCATTGTAGCAATGCAGATAGGAGTGTTGTCTGTACTGTAGAACGTCAGTGATAGTGAATTAAATCCAGCAGTAGCGAATGATGGAGTAATAAAACTGGAATAACAGACCTCACCATATAAACCCTGAGTTCCGTTTACACTGAGCTCGTAAAATTACAAAACATCGTAAAAACCTTCAAATTAAAGACGTGTGTGAACTCGTGTCGAATCTACTGCAGCGACATGCGCGCGAACTCGTGTCGAATCTACTGCAGCGACAGAAAGATACGTTTGGGGTTTTTTGTAATTTAGTGTAAAATAACAAAATAAAACGCCATAACATGAAAGTACTCTATTTATATATGTTTACAATAATCAACATCGACATTTTATATAAATGTGATTTTTTTTAGCAAACGTTATTTAAACAGCGCTCAGTTTTATTGTTATGCTAATGCTAATGTCTGAACGTTGGATGGACCGCACATATTTGTTCACATGAAATAATTCGTTATGTTATGGGTAAATGGGTAAATAAAAAAAAGTTAATAAGTCATTAAATAATTTATCTTAAAAAAACAATGGCTTTTTTAACGAAATGTAGTGATTTTACATGATTAAAACCTAAATTATTAGATTGTTCCTTAAACCTTTAAAAAATGTCATTTTAAGTTAAAACATTACTTAAGAATGTCAATTAAGTATATTAAGACGTTTTAGTTTGTAGTTCAGTTTCCCCCCTGGGGCTTATAGTGTTCTGGGTAAAAACAATCAAGGAAAAAGTCAGTGCTTTCACAAATAAATGATTTTATTACAATGTTTTTGTTTGTTTGTTTGTTTGTTTTCCCACAAGAATGTCCCAGCGGACTGGTGGACGAAGAGACGTTCAAGAACATTTACGCCCAGTTCTTCCCTCAAGGAGGTACAGCATGTGATGTGGAAACTGTTGTTGAAGTTAATGTTCCAAAGCTAACAGTCCTGAAGCTAATGTTTTAATACACAAGTAAAAAAAACCCCGTGACTGTGTGAAAGTTAGTGATGAACTAATGTGACCTCAGATGCGACCACCTACGCTCACTTCTTATTCAACGCCTTCGACATGGACCGGAGCGGCTCCATCCGCTTTGAGGTGAGCTCGACGCCGTCACTTGTGTCAGATTTGTGGCGGACTGTTTGACGGTGACACCGCTGTGTTTACAGGACTTCGTCATTGGACTGTCCGTGCTGCTCCGGGGCTCCGTGACCGAGAAGCTCCGCTGGGCTTTTAATCTGTACGATATCAATAAAGACGGCTGCGTCACCAAGGAGGTGGAGTCAACTCTCATACGTCACATTCGGATCCGCTGCACTTCCGGATGTACTGTATTTAAATGTGTCTGTGGTTGTTTTCCTGCAGGAGATGTTGGCAATAATGACATCGATATATGACATGATGGGCCGGTACACGTTACCGAGCGTCCGAGACGATTCTCCCTACGAGCACGTGGAGAAATTCTTCCAGGTGTCGTTTACATTTCTGCTCTAACCGGGTCTGAGGAATTAGCACAGAGATCCACGGTTTTACGACTTAATACTTAAAATTTTTATTGTTCTCTTTGTTCAGCATGTTTGCGATACATAGCGTAAGCTAACAGCAAAGTCATTTTAAAATTCTGCGTACTTCCAACAGCGTTGTGACAAAAGCGTTAAAATTCTGGCCTAACTTTAACCGATAAACCAGAAAGTTTAATTAAAAATTAGGTTAAAGCAAAAAACAAACAAACAAACAGTTAGCTTAGCTTAACATGCTAATCTCTTCAAAACACTTTTTAGGAAAATTGTTAACAGAACGGCAAATGTCATTTTGGATAAAGATTTGAAACAGAATTTAAAACATTTTCTCTAAATTGGCCAATAGGATAAAGTCGAGTGAGAACTAATTCCCGTCTTCACTTTTTTTTCCATGGATATTCGTTGTATATATTTATTCTAAATCTGAATTCTCTCTCCTGCACGTGATGCACAGAAGATGGATCGCAATCGAGACGGCGTGGTGACAATGGAGGAGTTCATAGAAACTTGTGAGAAGGTATAAATAATCCTCGTGAAACTCCCCGAGACGACGAAGACGACGTAGACGACGTAGACGTCTCAGGCTGATGGGAGTTTTATTTTGAAGATGTTTTTTTTTTCTCCGCAGGATGAGAACATTATGGCTTCCATGCAGCTCTTTGAGAACGTCATCTAACATCTCCACGCAGACACAGCTCGTAACGCCGCACACTTCTTCCCGCCACGAGCTTCCTTGACGTCCAATGACATCGTAATCCCTCCTGTAAGAGAACGCTGCCCAAGATTCCCCAGGATTTTTCATACATTCCGCCCAACGTTGTTCTCATCTTTCCAGTAAAGTTCTATGCAGACGATTCACCGACGTTGCTTGAGGAAACTTTTTTTGCAGTTTATATTTTTTCCTTACTCCGTGATAACTGAGGCTTGTTTTGTCTGCGATGAGAGCATGAGTGTCCCACGATGCATTGCATGTGATGCAAACCACACTGTTTTGACAGTTACGTAAGACAGTTAGTTAGCTAGACAGAGGTGGAATGTATCACGACTGTTACGTTAACCTATGTTCATTCAGAAATTTTTTTTTTTTCGTCAAAATGTCATGTTGGCCCAAAAACAACTGCTAAATAAATAATAATATAATACTCTGCCTTCACTAACGTCACTCTGTTTCATTCCATCGCGTACGAAACATTAAAACTTCATCAATTCCTTTTACAGTACATAGCAGTGAATTAGCGCCATCTTCTTATCTTTTGAGGTTGCAGGCATTTTAATTCACATTTTCCAAGTTCCAACAAGTTGCACCGTGAGTTTCCTTCTTCTGGTTTGAGGCACATGTCGTGACAGAGCTGCAGACAGATGTGCCACTGTCTGCAGCGGGCCCTCAGGAGGACCCTTTAAACCGTGACACAAAGGAAACACTTGGTTCTTTCATTTTTTGCCCGACGTTGTTGTTGACGCAGCTTCGGCGCTCGAACTTCTTTGGTGTCTTGTGACAATTCTCCGTCTTGTTCCACGTCCTCTGGGACTATTCTTATCTCGGTGTCATCGTCTTGATATGTCGCTGACAGGAAGTGTAGTCGAAAGTCGCTGCTCCCCACTGTGGTCTCTCTACAACGGGTTCCATTCTGACGCCCGTCATTAAATCTAAAATAAAACATTCCTTACGTTGAACTTCTACGAACAGTTGTTCCCAGAGTGGGGGGGCGAGGCCCTCCGAGAGGACGTAGAGCTATTGCTGGAGGGAGGTTTAGGAAGGGGGCGGGGGCACGACCAGAGTTCATTTAGTTATTCTCTACGGTTCTGCCACAGTGAAGGAATTGCAGTCGTTTGTTGATGTTCGATAAAAATAAAATTTGTTTTTGTTAAAGTTCAGTAAACTTTTGAACCAATGGCTGTGGACTTGATAATAGTTGTGAAGTCTTATGTCTAAAGGAGCGCTGCAGCAACGTTTGGCTTTGTTGTGAGAGCCGTGATTCGCGACGGAACGCAGCTGATTTGCACGTTGTCCGTACGATCGGTCGGAAAAATAGTTCAAATGATCATTAGCCACATCAGACAGAAACGTCTGGTTTGTCCTGGTGACAGTCCAGACAGACGTGGGTGTGGTTGTTTACAGTGGACACATGGTGCCTGTGTACAGTAAGATCACTGGATCAAAGGAGATGTTTTAGGTATAAACAGTCGTACACACACACGCAGTATTTATTGGTCTGAGTTTTGCGATTTTGTTTTTGAACATTTACCTTTTTTTAAGCTAACCCTCTGAGAACTTTCACCAATTTCAAACTTATTTTAGCCGTTGTTAGCTACTTGGCTAAATGTTTGCTACAGATGCAATGCCCTGGCATTTGACGTTCAGTTTTCCCAGTGTGAACTTTATCTCGCCAAAATCACGTCGTAGGAAATAATTAACAGATTCACATCGTGTTATGTTATTTAAATATTTGTTTAAAATCATTTATTTTTTATTCACACGTACGTTTCCATGGACACCGCTGTACAGTTTAGCAATTCCTTCCCCAACTTCGCAAGTACAATCTTCTATTTGATCGGCCTTCCATCGAACTTACTGTTAGTGTTATGTATTAAATCCCACTGGAGACCACTTCCTGTCTCTACCTTCCTGTTTGTCGTCGAGTCATCGGATTCGTCTACAACTTTCCTGTGCTTTGATTTGATCCACTGATAAAAAAAAAAACACCCTTATTTAGACAGAAGACGTGTATTATTTGTTTTATTTTAATAAACACATTAGCATCCATGAATCATAACTGGGTTTAAATGACAGCAGGAAACTACAGGTTTTTTTACTCAGGTCTGAGTCCAAGCTGTGACGACGAATCAGCGCATCCAGCGTTTTCAGGGATTAAGTGCACTTTTTACTTATACTATACAGAGCGTTTAAACCAGAAATACTTACAGAACTGAAAACCTCAATCTTACAGGCCTCACACATATATATCAGAGCAGGTGGGGAAGTGGAGACTGACGACGCCACACTGGAGCAGACGTCACGTTTGACACAACATCACACTTCACGATCTGGGTACGTTCCCTGAAAACGTCTCACTTCACACCAGGGGTGTCAAACTCATTCTGGTTCACGGCCCGCATACAACGTCATTAGACGTCAGGTGGGCCGGACCAGTACAAACATAACATGATTAACTATAATTAACAATGTTTTTCTCTTTTGTTTTCATTTAAAGACGTATATTGTTTATTTATTAATATTCATTTATATGTAATGAAATCTAATTTTCACCAAAAAAAATATCATGATCTGAAGTACATGAAGTATTTGTGTGTATTTTTTTTTTCCATTTTCAAAATTCATCAAGTGGGCCGGATTGAACTGCCTAGCGGGCCGGTTTTGGTCCCCGGGCCGTATGTTTGACACCCCTGCTTTAGACCTTCTCCTGCAGAAGATTGAAAAATTCAAAACATCACAAAAGAAAAAGTGCTGGACTAAAAACAAAAAAAAAAACAGAAAACACAAATTTGACATAAAAGCACATTTAAAACATGCAACAGTAAAAAGAAAAACACATCAGTTTTTTAAGACCGTTTACTGGACATTACAGCAAATCATCTTCTGGACTTCAGGATGGAGTTAAACAGAGATATTTAAAGATCCACCAGCATTTAAACAATGAAGTCAACAGTGTAAAATACAGATGTTCATACTGACCCACCAGCTCCACCGGCTTCCAAACATTTCTGAAAAAGTCTGTGTTATTGGAAAATTTAGTGTTTCGTAACAATTATAAGTCAAGACATTCACTGACGTGTCACGTCTGAAGGCCAGGACTGTTGAAAACCCTCGAGTAGAAACCACACAGCCCACAATATACTAACGACCAAATGGACCGATCTGATCTCAATTCATCGCGATTAATCGACCAAAAGAAAAAAACGATTTAAATCTTTTTCACCGGTTCATTCCTAAATGTTTGTCTTCTCCTCTGTAGTGTGAAGTGTCTGTAAATTAAAACTGTGACACAGCCATGAAGTGTGGAGAGAAAGTGTTGTTAGTGATCAGAACCTCTAATTCCTAACATCATGAATATTTATGTCGTCTCTATATACAGAATATAAAAAGTCTGGTACATTCTTACTTCACACAGTAGCAGGTGATCTAGTGTCATAAAATGGTAGTAGAAAAAAAAAAAGTCAGGACGAGGGATGTCCGATATTAACTTTTTGCCGATATCTGATTTCGTCCAGACACGTCTGATATCAACCGATACCGATATAGCAGTGCAGTGGTGGCCTAGTGGTTAAGGAAGGTAATCGCGCCTGCAGTGGTTCTTAATTATTTTCTGCCATGCTCCCCCCTAGGGGACAAAATTTTTTTTTCACCTTAATTCCCCAAATCCCCTGATTATTAAAATAAATTATTAAAATAATAAAGTTGCAATGCTGCCATCTAGTGACATTCACTTTCAAATACAACCATTTTTCCCCAAAACTATTTTTAGTTTTTTTTTTAGAACATTTTCATTACTGGAGGACATCAAAAACGATGCTCACAGATATTACATAATTATGCTAATATCGAGGCAATGATGTCGATCAGCCGATATTATCGGACATTACATAATTATGCTAATAGCGAGGCAATAATGTCGATCAGCCGATATTATCGGACATCCCTAGTCGGGACCTCATTTCATTGATAGAAACTGGTTGATTAAACATGACAACAGGAGATTCTACTGGAAGCGTAGTGGAATATGAAGAGGGCGTTTGGGATCAGAACATGCACATACGTAAGCAGGAGGGAAACAAACTGTTCTCACTGAAGAAGAAACATGCTGGACAACAACATGGTTAAGGAAGTGAGGAGCTGGACCAGGCCGTCGCTCAGAGGACTGCTGCGACTGGGCTGAAACTGGGCTTCAGCCTTTCGCTCCACCAGGAAACGCTCTGAGTAAACCATGTACTTCTCCACGCACCGCCGTGCCTTCATCTGCTCGATCAGAGCCGGGTATCCGATTTCTTCAATGCTGACTGTGTCGTCGTCC